GGCTGGGTTTCATTTGCTCTGTGTTTTAAGCACAAAAATTGGCAATTCATAGCTCTCAAACTGTAGCAGATTGGGGGGTGCCATGTGGGCGCTGAACGGGGTGGTCCCAGTGGGTGAAGGGGTCCAGGAGGAGACACTTCAGGCTGTGACTACCTGGCTCTGGAAGTGTGGACTGCATGGGGACCCGGCAGGGGGCGCTGTCACACTGTGTCTGTGAAAGCGGCTGAGAGACTGGGTCTTAACTGTTCTCAGCACAAGAAATAGCAAAACTTGTAGCCACGTCTGATGGCAGAGGTCAAGGAGACGTATTCTGGATGGTTTTGCAGTTTACACCTCACAGTGTCATTATGTCGTACACCTGACACTAATTAATGTCAATTACATCTCAGTTAAAAATAAATTAAAATAAATCTGAATCTTCTGTTTCCCCAAAACCAGCACGTGGAAGTCTATCCCAGCTTTATTAACCCCCTAGATACGTGGTTGGCAAACCGCAGCTCTTGAGCCACATGCGGCTCTTTGGCCCCTTGATTGTGGCCATGAAGTTTCAATCTCACTGTATGTGTATGCCTGCAGGTGGTATTTTGTGGAAGAGTCACACTCAAGGGGCTGCAGTTTGCTGACCACTGCCCTAGACCAGTGGATCTCAACCTTGGGTGCACATTAGAATCACCTGGGAATCTGGTTAAAATCCTGATTTCTGGACCTAATCATTAGTAACAAAGAAACAGAATTTCCAGAGGATGAGGCCCAGAAATCAGGATTTTAACAAGATTCCCAGGTGATTGTAATGTGAGCCAAGGTTGAGAACCACTGCTCTAGACTGAGAGCAGCCAGGAGTCGGTGCCTGGAGTCTGTGACAGCTGTAAGTGGCGGGATGTCCTCCAATAAGGGCCTGATTTAAAAAGGAGATGTGGCCTGGCTGGTGTGGCCCAGTGGTTGAACATTGACCTGTGAACCAGGAGGTAACGCTTCAATTCCTGGTCAGGCAGGACACATGCCCTGGTTTTGGGCTCCATCCCCAGTGGGGGTTGTGCAAGAGGCAGCTGATCCATGATTCTCTCTCTCCCTCTCCCTCTCCCTTCCTCTGTGAACCCAATAAACATATGTCTTAAAAAAAGAAGAAAGGCTGGTTTGGTGATTTTTTATACCTAGATCTTCAAAGGACATGAAGCACCCTTCTTTCTGCTGGTTAGGGTTCCTCCTACCTCAGAGCCCCTTACACCCATGTCCTGTTAATGAGTTAATCCCCCTCCAGCCTCCATTGGTTTCAGCAAAAATTGCCTGAATGTGTGGCCCGAAGGTTGAGAGGCCCATTGTCCCTGTGACCATCAGAAGCTGGGTCTCTGCTTCCTCACTTGGCCCCCAGGCTGGTCACCCCGAGACTTGAACCGGCGAGTCTGCTGGTGACAAGGCCTCTCCAAGTGTCACGTGGGCGTGTCCTGGTCCTTGCAGGAGCCTGGGAAGCAGGGGACGGTTCTTGCGGCAGGGCCTGTGGTCCCTGTGCCGGCGGCTGGCTCCTTGGTCATTGCCCATCAGCTCATCCTGACCTGGAACCTCAGTACTGACATGTTACTTAGGACATCTGTGCCCACATCCAGCATGATCATCCTGTCATTATTAGTTTTCTATCATTTCCAGGAGCATTTGTCGCTGTGATAACGGCTTTAAAACCAACCAGGACGGGATACATCTTGTTAAATGTTTTAGAGAAATTTTGATGAAAATGAATTGGAACCATTTGATCTGCTGACCTGCGAGAGGGCCTGTGAAACAGTGCCTTTCCCATTCCGTGAAGTCGTCCCTCAGCATTTTCTGTTTTATAAGAACATTGGTCTCTTAGTTATTCCATTGTTGATGCAGCCACACTTGTGTCTTCCAGGGAAAGTAAGCGTGTTATCTAACTATCTATACAAAAGGCTACTATGCAAAGTGTCCCCTCGGGAGTTCAACCTGGAGACCTGAGCTTGATTGCTCGCTATGACGTGAGCTGACCACCAGAGGGCGGTGCGGAACATGGAGGGGGGGCAGTGGTGGGGCGCTGAGGGAGTGAGGGAAGGAGGATGTGGAGAGGTGGGAGACCTGATCGGCCCTGATCACCAGCAAGGCCTAGGGACCCTTCCTGTGCATAAATTTCGTGCACTGGTCCTCTAGTGTTTAAATTAAGATTAGAAATCTTAGCGTTTTTATTTTTGCACATGGGACCAGCAGGTGGCACTGTGGGACTGCCCTGAGGTTCATGCAAGCTGCTCAGTGAGGACCATTTACTGACAAGAGCCCCATGGCCAAGCTCTGTGCTCCCTGAAGGGAAAGCAGCAGCCACGTCCTCTGAGCAGGGACCCTTGTGTGGTCCCAGCAGGTGCTTCCTCCCAGGGTCCCCAAGGGGTGAGCCCACCTCCATGCCCCTCAGTCTGGGGTGTGAGCTGAGCTCCAGCCCCAGGGCCCAGGGAAGTGAGACAAAAACCTCCTCTCCGCTCTCCTGGCCTGACCTTGGCCCCTGCTGGCGGCTCCGCCCAGTTCTGGCTCAGCCGTGACTGTGCTGATAGGTGACCCTCCAGCACCGGGTGATGCTGGGACCCGGGTCCTGACAGGGGCACAGCTCTGACCTCACTCTCTCTGCACAGGTAGGGACAGGCCTGGGACCCGGCTTCTTCCCTTCCTGCTCTGGCTCCTGGGAAACGTCCCCTGGTCCCTGCCCATCACTGACAAGTGTCTGTGTCTGCAGGGTCCCTTTCCCAGCCTGTGCTGACTCAGCCGCCCGCCCTCTCTGCATCTCTGGGAGCCACAGCCAGACTCACCTGCACCCTGAGCAGTGGCTTCAATGTTGGAGACTATGGAATGGTTTGGTACCAGCAGAAGCCAGCGAGCCCTCCCCGGTACCTGCTGTCCTACAAATCGGACTCAGACAAGTACCAGGGCGCGGGCGTGCCCAGCCGCTTCTCCGGATCCAAAGACGCCTCAGCTAACTCGGCTGTCCTGCACATCACTGGGCTGCAGCCCGAGGACGAGGCTGACTATCACTGTGACACGTGGGACGGCAACTTCAAGACTCTCACAGTGGTCCACACCCACAGGGGAGGGAGACAAAACCCTCCTCTCTGCTCCCTGGGCCGGGCCCTGTCCCCCTGCTGGCGGCTCTGACCTAGTGCAGCTCAGCGGGGACTTGTGCTGTCAGATCCCCACCCGGCACCTGACTGTGGGTGGACAGTCGTTTTGACAATGTCACAGCTTTGTCCTCACCTTTCAGGTTGACGTATTGTTCTCATGTCCGTGCCGTGTTCATGTTTCAGAGACAGAAACTCCCTCCTGGGAGAGAACATGTCCCATGGGAGACACTGAGGAGGTCAAATCAGGGTGATTCAGGCCAAGGGCAGCGCAGGGTGCAGCAGGGGCTGAGAGAGGAGGCAGGTCTGAGCCCTGGAATCTGAATTCCGTGTACAAACCCACACGCAGCAACAACCTGTTCTCTACACACGAGCAGCGAACCCTCCAAATGTGAAGAATGACAGCAGCGCTGCCACCTGGGCAGCTGCCGGCGGGAGG